CAGCTAGAAAAAACACCAAAACTCCTGAACAGCTTGTGAAACCACAACCCCATCTGAACCAATTACCACCAAAACCAAAAATCCTACCTTCTCCCTGGCCCCAACAACTGATTCCTTTTCTGTCCTCCCCAATTCTATACTGCTACAAGCACTTAGGCAGCCACACACTGGTACAAGACTGAGTAAAAAGATGTAACTCACTGTTGTGTCAGCACAGCTTTATCCTGGTGCAGGTCCCTAAAGAGGTGTGTGAATTTGCTACCTAAACATTTGTTGCACAAGTATTACAGTGACAGAGAAAACTGCAGAATGCAGCTTCATTTGCTTGTGAAAATATGGCCCAAAAATCCAAGTAACGGGAGAGGTATTTTCAAGACGGTATTGGCTCATATTTTTCAGACAGTGCAGGTGATCGCATTTCTTGTTGTGCAACCCCTCAATTAAGATGCAAATATAAGTGTTCTGTTCCAAATGAAAAAAAGGCAATTTCCAATTAGAGACAGACATCAAAACATCAAATAGGTATACTGAACCTTCCTTACACTGATGCATACTTACATAGCACAAACTAATTTTGAACATTTTTCTTCCTGTTTTCAGCTCTCCTTATTTTTCATATATTGCAGTGGCAGAATGAGCATTACAAAAAAAACCACCAAAGGTATAAAACCCCCTGGAATTAACTGTTCTGAGAATAAATACGAAAGCCATTTCAAACAGGGTCAATTTACAGAAGTTACTGTTAAAGAGAGAGCAGATGTCTTTCACTGTAAGAAGCTATTTTTTGTCACCAAGGACACATTCCCCATGCCACTGCTGAAAAGTTCAAAACTACTGGACATGGTCACACTTCATTCGTACTTCACTGCTATGATGTTCCACGTATTTTCTGGATATCTACCGCTGCTATCATGACTAAGTATTATTGAACACAGAAGCTATTTCACAACATTATCCTAGCTAACACAAAATTAAAACAGTTCCTCCAACTCACAAAAAAAAAGGTTTCTCATATCACTGCCTTTAACAGACTTGTTTAATCTACCAGCAATCTACTAGTATTTATATTAGACATCCAAAGACAGCTCAAAACTATAATTTTACTCTTTTAAGTATAAAAAAACCTGACCATCACATGGCATTTGTCTGTATGAATTAATCAGGTTTTTTATCCTACCAGTCTCTTCAGCCAGAATGACAACAGGGAAGGCAAAAGATTTCAGAAAAAGAAAAAAAATGAAAGGAACAAGCGACTGAAAGTTTCCCATTTCTTAAGCTTAGTCTAAACTTACACTCTGACAGCTTGCTAAAATTTCTGACTTTTCAACACATTTTCATTACACAGTGCACAGCTGAAATAAAGCCACAATTTATCCACAATATTTGTTTCTACCACAAGGAAAATCTCACTTGTTAGTAGGAAAAAAGGGTCAGCGTTTCATAACTTTACCAGAGAAGACTACCCTTCAGAACTTAACTGAAAAACCAAAGTGGACAATACTTCAAGAGTACTTACAGACTGCTACTTTGTGCTCTCTCCCTTTTCTCCACCAGCTCCTCTCTCTCCTGGTTTTAGTTATCTCCCCCATACCACTAAATTCCTTCATGTTAAGAACCAGTACCCAGGAAAAAGGGTGACTATGTGACACTTTACTGCTTGGAAAACTATTCAGTACATCTCAGCATCTGCTACCCATCCCTAACAAAACCCACCAAATATGCACCAACAATTCCCTCTTTCCTTAAGCACACTGCAAAGGCTGATGCCATGACTTGGCGGGAAAAAGGCTGTTCCCACACCCTTAAACACTACAAACGTATGTTTACTGGAATATGAGTTTTCCCTCCTAGCTATAATTGGGGCTGTCCATCCTCAGCAGCTGAAGCTCACTTTTTGGTCAGTGTAGTCCAAAACACCATCAGCCACATCAAAAGTTCCCAAATACAGTGTACCAAATAATGCATCCATGAAGAAATGACTTTCTTTTCTCCTGTCAGGTATAAGTACACCTCAGCCATTCTGAAACGTGCAACACACATACACAAAATGAGTCAGTCAATTGTTCAGGCCCCATTTACTGCACAGCTACACATGCCACCCAGAAGGATGATGTATTAAACTGAAGTGGCACACGCTGAAATACAGAAGAGATCATCCTCAATACGCACCCAAAGCTCACCTAAATTATTCCTTGAACCTGTGTGATGTATATTCTTTACATCATGTTTTACACCCCTCCTCATCCACTTTTTGTGTTAATTTCTGGTGACTCACGTAAATAAAACAAAGACTACACATCAGATGAACAAAAATGTTTTTAATCAAATCAAAGTGCATGGCACAAACAAATGGCAATAGCTTGAAATTTATCAGCCTCATTTGCAGGTAAGTCAGACTATAAAACTTAATAAAACATTATAAGCAAACATTCCCCTTACTCTATACTTGCCCTGCCCATATGCAGTCCCCAAAGCCCAAAAGCTCTCTTTCAATTGAAAGACAAGACCCAGACTACAGTAGTTAACTTCTGTTACTCTCTTACGAATGGATTTACAAATATAACATGTTCACTATTCTGTTTAAGAGAGGAAACAGACAATAGTTAATAAAATTTTCAAATTTGTATGGATATGACTGATGATGATGACAATAAAATAAAGTACATTTTCCCAACAGAAGAGTCCTATGTCACAATCCATTTTTCCAAGTATAAAGGAATGTATCACAAACATGCTGGGCAACTGATCAGCAATATATAATGTAGGTAAAAAAATCTGAAGGAAGCATCAGGTAAAACAAACATCTTGGATAAGCTGACTTCACACAGAAATGCCTGTCCATGCCCAATGGCCTCCCAGTCACAACAAAAGCAGCATTAAAGGAGCACTAAAACAGCTGATGCAACTCCTTGGATTCAAAACTTACTCCATACACATTGCCACTGCACTCCAAAGAAAGAATAACAACCAAGGGAAGGCCAGACGAATGATTCCAGTTGTTTATATACACCTATTGGTAAAGCATTAAGCATTCTTCAACTTTAAAACATCAGTCCATCAAGAGCAATGAATAATCACCAGAGAACATAAAGGACAAATGCTTCACATGGTCTTCCACAAAACATGACTCAAGCTAGCATTAGACTGCTACCCAAGCAGCATACATCAACTAGTGAGAAACTCCAGTTTTAATTTTTTATTAGTATCTTGAGATAATTACAGAACCTCCCAGCATACAGTCCACTTTACTCCTCCCATATTTTTCAGGAAACCATCATCCTTATTTATTCCACTGCTTCCATGCACAAATGGATTGCTTTATTTTAAAATCAAGACAGCAACTCCATTTTTACAAGGTAAAGAACACATCTTTTTGACACTTTGGCACCTTTTCTTGCATTTATTTTAATCACTACCTCTAATACACCTGCCTTGCCTTCTTTCTTATATTCATAATATAACTTCTACAATCAACAGAAAGAAGCATTTATGTCATCTGAAGTGTCTATTTCATTGTCTGGTTACTATCTGAATACAGGATTCCAAAATTACACTACTGGTTACAATGTATTTCATAACACTCAAATTCACATAGATTGAAGTCATTCATAGTAAAGATCCAAAGGGATACTGAATCCGTTTACTTCTCCTGAAGTGAGAAGGTCAGAATTTAAGGTTCAAGCAACACATGGTCTACCTGAAACTGCTTCTTCGCTAGACACAGTTGAGGGCAACTTGATTATTATTTTTATTGTTCCAAAACTGTTCACATAGAGCAGTTTACTTCTGAAAGGCTTGGAACTCTCTTAGGTATTCCTCCAAACTGCTAAATACATTCCTAAGTTTTCATCAGGTAACACTTTGTCCTCCCAGGCAACAGAGAAACAATCGTGCCAGTTCATGTTTCTGATTGTGATTAGCTCCCACAGAAGCACTTTAATAACTACACTTTTCTCATGATTCAGAGAGGGATTTTAAGCTGTTCTCCAATACTGCATGAACATATGGAACCAGATGAGTCCAGAATCTATATAACTGACTTCTTACAGTTCCTCCTAGGAGGAATCTTGCTCAGAAATATCATACAGACACATCTGACAGAACAGCTGGATCTACAGGCTCTATTATATAAGAACTAGTCCAAATCCAGCAGGACCTATACTGAATGTGAGCACTGAGCCTTACTCGACAAAGCCTGGCTTAGCAAGCAGTTGACACAGATCAGCCTCAGGTGAACAGGCAGCCACACAGCACAAGCTACAAAGTCCCCAGACAAATGTGAAGGGTTAAATGTATGCACCAGAAAACTTGTATATTTCTGCCACTGAAATAGAATTGCTCACATGCATCATTAAAGTTCCCTTGTCCCATATACTTTTGCAATCTCACTATTTCACAGTCTGCCACCATGGAGTACTGATCAAATTCCTGTGACAGATTTGAATATAAAAATGAAATAAATAGCAAATTATCAATCATTTGGAAGCCCTTTCCTTGTTAGAAAAAATATGTTAAATTCATAACTGAACTTGAGAAATAAATAGTAAAGCAAAGCAAACACCCACTTCTGTGTCTGCATAACAAATTCTACCTCCCATACTTCTGTGTCCTATTACAGACAGTCACTTCTTTTCTAACTTCAGCAGTAACTGTTTTGAAGAAAGGAGGGGGAGGGAGAGAAGAAAACACAACTTTTACAGTCACCATGAAGCAATGAGAAAGTGTTGCTTTGAAAAAATATGCAAAATTAAGCTTTAAAATAAGAAGCTGACATCACTACATTAATGTAGAACCACTGTTCACAGTTCAGTGTCTAGAAAGGTCTTTTGTGTATAGCCTCCAATTTACCTCTAGGAACTTTTAGTTCATAAAACAGATATTGTTGACTAGCTATCAGCTTACAATGTTTGCTTAAAATCTTCTAACTTGCAATTACTGATGCTCAAAGTAGTTAATTTTGTATCAAGTTTGCCCCCTTAATTGTTAAGTGTACATCCTACCTTCACACCAACTGCAACATCAGTGACAATGCTGTAAAAAAAGAAGAAAAAAAACAAGAACAAAAGTCAATCAATTTTTCCTCATAAACCAAACTTTTCAATGTATTGCGATGACAACATAATTAGGAAACAAACAGCCAACAACTCCCCCAAACAAGAAACTATGTTCAAAGAACACAGCAGGACTGAGGGGAAGTACAAAAGACACCCAGCACAGCCACTGAGCTCCCCCAGCTTACAGGCTTCTCCCAAAGAGTACAAAGTTTCAAGTGAACATTACTCCAATGCAGCACTGCCAGGAAATTGATTTGGGAAACTCCAGTTTCTGGACTACACAAAATATAGGGGAAATAAAACAATTTAAAAGTAAGTACAGAACTTTGCTCACACACCTGTTAACTAGACAGCTAGTTCAGCATCATGGCCTGACCTACAGATCTCTGTGCAGCAGAAAGCAATGAAAACATCTTTTTAATTAGGGTGAAGAAAAAGCCTTGGGAGGTACACCTGTATGAAATATGATGAGGTGTACCTATACAGAACTCTGCAACAAGTATGTCAAGGTACATCTTTTCCCTAGGGGCTGTGACACCATATACAGTGTGTAACACAACCCAAAAGAAATTTAAGTCCACATGAAAAAAAGAGGCAAACATGAACATGTGAGAGCATTCCACAATGTAGTACTCATCAGTGACAAGGCTTCTCCAACAGGATTTGTAACTCCTAACGTTATAATCACAACCAACCATAAAAAGCCTTTAGAACTCTCGCAGTTGAAAGGTTATATGCTTAACGCGTACCAAAGGGATGGCTTCTCTGTTTGAAGCAAAGTAAACAACTTAATGGGAAATCTGGAAGCTGGAGGTTGTTGTATTTACACAGACGAAGGATACGGGCAGCAGCCTCATTTTCCAGGGCCAACAAAACGCAGACCCCGCGCGGGGAGCCTGCCCAGCCCAGCCCAGCGCTAGAGCCCTCGCTGTCCCGTGCGGCTCCTTCCAACCTTCCCTTCTTTGGCCTTTGCATCCAGACTACAGCGCGTACAAAGGCATCTTTCTACCTGCGGACACGACACACCAAACGGCTTATCAGGCCGTTTCTGAAAACAAAAGAGCTCGACATCTGGCTCCTGCTGGCATCGCTCCTCCCCTCCAGCCCGCTCAAAACAAACCCGAGCCCCCAGCGCGCCCCCCGAGCCCCTCGGCGGGGGGAGGGGGCACAGATTGGGGAGCGGGAGGGAGCGAGAGGTCGGCAGGAGACGGATGGGGGTAGATCGCACTGCAACCCTCGCATCAGGCGCGACGTCTCGGGCTCTGCACTAGGCAGGAGCGGCCCAGAGCCTCGGAGCTCCCACCGCAG